TTCCCGGAATGGAGTGTCCAGTTTGGGTGCGGGAGCAGATGGATATCTCGATGGAGCAGAGTCCTTTTCACATGCGAAATGTCTCCGAGTGTTCTCTGATTGCACCTACCGGGGTGGAGTGGCCAGTTTGGGTGCGGAGGAGATGGATATCTCGACAGAGCCACTCTCATTGTCTGGTTTGATTGCTTGTGTCCTGCTTTTTATTTTGTGTTGATAAGCGTTGCTGCCGGTCATTACTGCCCGACTTGGGAAGGTATCTCTGGATTATTTTACATTTTGCATCTTTACAGTATTACAAATATAACATATAATTCTTTATTCTCTTTCACGAATTTTTATCCAATGTTATATTTATCACACCGAATTTGGCAAAGGATGGCCCTTAGCATGTAATTTCACTTTGCAAGCCTCTGCAATGTGTTTTGGCTTTCCACACCAACCACACAGAAACGAAGGAGTTTTCCCCTTCTGTTTGTTTTCCCTGCTTCTTGTTGGCTTGTGCTTTCACCTGTTTCTGCTGCTTACCCTTTGGCCCTTTTGAGGATGCTGGTAAAGCAGTAACCAAGGCAGCCATCCTATAATTTGTGGTGCTGATTTTAGCACAAGCCTGGACCATATACGCTAAGGATGGATCCCCTGGGAGGGCCTCTATCACCCTCCTGCAATCATCATTAGCATTGCTTCTTGCAAGCTGTCTGACCAGTAGCTTTCTCAAATCAGGATCATCCACCTGCTTCTCCAAAGATGCAGAGTTTTTCAACAAACTGCAAATAAGGTTCTTTAGTCCCTTGGACTATAGTGACAAACCTCTGTTTTGGAGCTGCTAATTCTATGGTTTTAATCAGAGCTGCCTGTCTTCTGGCACTGATCCAGCATCTGTGGGTAAAAGGTAACCTGAAAATCAGCATTAGCAAAATTTCCAAGCCCTGTCAACAGATCACTTCCAACCCCATACCTGGAGTCTTGTTGAGACAATTTACTATTGTGTGCAGCTACTTTCACAGCCAGCTGCCTCCAATTGGCTTCAAAGACTTCAAGCAGGACAGGCTGAAATAACACCTGCACAAGGTGCCTAATGTCATATGGTACCAGTGGCTTGGAGTTGATGACTCTAATCACCTGCATCACTTCTGGAGAACCTAGACCATATCTAGCCACCTTGTCTCTAATGTCCAATACAGCTTTCAAAGATATAATCTGATACATATTAGGCTGCCCTGTATGAGGATTTGCCTTAACCACAGAAAGCCTGGAGACCTCCTTGTGAGGTCACAGCATTTCTTTGATCCTGCCCCACAGACGATGCAGATGACAGGCATCTGGCTGGCGTTTACATCTCTTGTACCAGATTGCCTGTTCCTCCCAGCATCTGTAAAGCCAGGAAGATAATCTCCAGTTCCCCTAAAACGCTCAAGGAGATCCCATTCTCCTATCTGCAAAACCTTTTCTTTGACCTAGTCCCAAAAAAGCCTTGGATCTCTGGGACGGGCTGTGACCTAGCACAGTGGGAATGTCCAATGGGTGCTGGAATGGGGACCCTCTCGGTGTCCCCCATTCCGAGCAGACACCCGCTCCAAAGCGGCAGTGTCACCGCGAGACCCTAATGTGAATAGGGAGGGCTCAGAGGCAGCTGCTCCAGGACCAGCAGTGTCTGGATCCGGAGCGGCCCCTGCAGTTTCTGTAGCAGATCCAACCAATCCATCTAAACCCAGCACGCAGGAGGGAGGGAGTGGTGCCGATGGAAGTCCGCCCCCACCCCCACGCGGCGCTGCAGGCTCCAGCGCCGGGAGAGAGGGTGGGCCCAGAGGGGCCCCAGCACCGCGCCACCCTCGCCGCCCATGGCCGCTGCCGCACGGGTGGGGGATGCGGAGGAAACCGGTTCCAACCAAAGACTCGTGCTGGCTGCGAGTCGAGCACTGTCGGTGCGCTGCCCGCAGTCGCTGCGCCACCCGCATTCTCCCCCCCTCGCCGTGGCGGGAGGAGACCTGGGGGACCGCAGCTCTGGGCGAGCTCCCGCGCCGCCTGCATCAGCGGCGGAGACAGCCATGCCGGCGGCCGTGCTTGTGCTGGCGGCAGTGCTGATCCCGCTGGCCCCTGCGCCCGTGGCGGCGGCGCTCACACCGGCAGCACCACTTCTGCTCGTGTCTGCGCTGCCGGCCGCGCCCACACGAAGAGGCTGCGCGGAGGGCATTGGCAACACAGCCTGTGCGGGACAGAGAGGAATGGCTCCGTCTCCCGCGGATGCTGTGTCTAGCAACTGGCCGACTGCCGGCGCAACTGTTGACCGCGCAGGCGCAGCGGGACTGTTTTCGAACCGTGGCACGGGAGTGGGGGGAATTCCGCCGGTCCCTATGCCAGCGGTGTTTGCCTGTGTGAATGGAATTAACGCAGCTACTTCACAATTCGTACACACCACAGAAAGAGGCCTCTGTGGTCCTGCTGCCGCTGCAGGCGGAAAAGGAACTGCTGAGGTTCTCCCTCCGTCCACCACAGGGAATGCGTGGGGAATGGGTATCCCCTCCCCAACCCGCAGTTCCCCAAGCCCCGGGCAGCGTGGCGCCGGCTGAGCGGTGCGGGAGAGACTGAGTTGAACCTCCCTTCTTCTGCTGCCGGTCAGCCATTCCGTGTGACCCAGAAGAGGGACTCCCCATCCCCGGGTTAGACTTGCAAAGGAGTGATGTGGGAGAAAAAATTCTCTCAGTACTGTCCTGGTCAAAGTCCGATCCTGTCTCCCCTGAGTCAAGACCCACCGGAGCGACTTCTGGATCAGACCAGTCCCCTTCTTCAGAGCCGGACTCCGAGACCTCCCTGGATAGGTCTCTGAAGCTAGTGCTCTCTAACATGGTCATAAATTTCTTCCACAGCAGAAGCAATTTCACTTCCTCCACTTCGTCTGCCAACATCAGTTGAAACAAGGCGTCGCCAGGTGCTTGCCAACAACGTTTCAACAGCGCGTCAGCGGCGCTCGGAAAAAACCCATGCTCTTTCCCCCATAAATACAGAGCTTGGAGATCAGATCCAGAAATATCCAGTGCATTTTTCTGGAAAATGTCTGTCCATAAGTCCTCTGGAGATAAACCAGCAATTAGCATGCTTGCAGCTCACGTGGAAAAATCTTCCAGCAAAAGAAAAACGACAGGCAAAAACCTGCACACTTGGACCAAAAAGAAAAAAACTTTTTTCTCGGGCATAGGGGAAAGGAATTTACCTCTCTCACTGTTGCAATACCCGCAATACCCACGTTGGGCTGCCAAATGTTGCTAGTGGACACGAAATAGAAGCGTGGATTCAATCACAGCAGCTGAGGTTTTTCATCCAAAGGCAGAAGCCTTTATTTTGGGGTTTTCAACCCCTTTTATAAGGTGCTCCAATACAGGTTTAACATGACTGGTAAAGGGAACAACACCTTTCTCATTCCATTGGTGGGACGAGAAACACACTCAGAACATCTGTACACCACTGTTTTGGGAACCAAAACACCTATCTACAAAACAGTCCCTGAGAAAGAAAATGTTCCCAAAAGACTTTCCCTTGGGAAACAGATCAGCCACTGACAGGCTGAAAACTCTCAGGCTCAGAAAATCATGTCCACAATCTAGTTTCCTTTTTTTAATTAAAAAAACTGAACAAAACAAAAGCAAAAAAAGAGTAACTCCGGCATGAAGCACATGTACAGAGTGTTTTGGGACTCTCACATTTTTTTGAAATTGAAAGGATGAAAAGCTTTGGAAACCACAGTTTGTGATTCAGTCATTCAGGCAGCTGTTCCAGAGGGCTAACATATTTTGCTGTGTACCAGAGCAGTTCCAGAGATGAACAGCCATTCAGAAAAGCTAAAAAATTCAGAAACCTTACTGTTAGATGCAGTTAAAACATCTTCTTTTACTAGGAATTAGTGAAAATAAAGAAACAGAACATTTAAGTGCATAGATTCATCATAGCGTGTTTAATCTACAAGATAAATAGACTCCAACAAAGAATCAGTTTGAGATTTTTATTCCAGTAGCTTGTCTACAAAAATTGCTTTGAATCAGAGAGGCTTAATCCTTTAAGCAGAAGGCTGTGGTTTGTCTTCTTGCTCAGGAGCTTGCTTTTGCCTCTGCATTATTCCAGTTATTCCTAAGTAGGTCTAAGAGCAAAAGGCTATATTTTTGTTGGAACACTGTTATAATTTGCTTTATTATGGGGGAAGAAGCATGTGTTGCTTTGTGCCATAGGTAGGAATGTCATAATGCTGTCATTTTCCTTTCAGTATTTTCCAAACTTGTGCTTGAGAAGAGTCAGACACACCTTATGAAACACACTTTCTATATAAGTAGTACATAATATACCTTATATGGCTCTGGTTTAGGATCATTACCATTCTGTGATGGTTGCAATGGAGTCTCAGTATTTCGTCTTAGCTGCACACTTGTGCATGTAGCACAATGGAGGGTTGGGAGCACAGTGGCGTATAAACATGTTATTCATAATAAATGTATTTTTTATAAAGCCAATACTGAGAAAACAAGGTTATTTAGCTATTCAGTTCTTTCTTAGTCCCTAAGAATGCCTGTTGCACAGCCCTTCACAGGGATTTTGCTCTTTTTGTGCAAGATCTTAGAGACAGGCTTTGCCATGGCCTTAAAGACTTGTGATTTGTACCAGTTTGAAGGTTTATACCAAACCTTTGTGCTGTTACACTACCACTACATGCCACTGCCAAGAGAGAGCAACACAGAAAGACCACAGCAAGCTGAATGAGATTTGGGAGGAGCAGAGCCCAGCACACCCAAGGCAGGAGCCACCACTTGGATACATGACAACACCAACCAGTACTATTTTGATTGTCATGCCATAAAGTACCTAATGCTACTACTTGTGAACAGGTTTTCTTCCCAAAGCAGGAGTCTTAAAATGTTTACTCCTGGATGCTGTTATGCCAGGAATGGTAGCACCTGAAATGTTTATGCAATAGGAAAATTAGGTCATGTGCAGCCAGATGTCCTATGCTTACAATCACAAATCCAATCAGGATCAAACACATTGTTATTTTCCCTGTAATCCAATTTAAAAATACTAACAGGTACTTTGATAATATTTTGACTTGATTTTAAAACCTATTGCTTACATTTTAGCATGGAATGCTACAAAGGTGTAACTATGTACAACAGTGTGGACCAAAAGTAAGAAATCAATGTACATATCAAGACAACAAAATTCATCTGGCATGGCTTAGTTAAGTCTACTGCTTCTCTTAGCACATTTATTTAGAACATGCTGAGTGGCTTGACTGGATGCTACTTTCTACAGCAGAGGTGTTAATCACAGAAGCGTTTCTCTAAGCAACATAAATCATCTTTTGCAGCACTGAATACTGGCTGTAATAACCAGTGTGTAGTAAGACAAACTACACAGTTTCTTTTATGTCTTCAAAGAAGAGTATGAGGTTTCACACAGGAATCAGTTGGTTGATTGCCACAAATATTTGCATTAAACTTTCCAGAGGCGTCCACACTGCTTACTGGGAAAAAGAAAAAATCTAATTTATAGGAAACAACAATAAATTATGTTTAGCAACAGACACAATTCAGCAGGTCTTTTTCTTTGCAAACATTCAAAGCACACTGTAAATTTGACTGCAGGTTACCAGTTAAGTGAATTAGGAAGTATACACAGCACTAATGCGTAAATCATGCTTATCTGATGGCTTACGGAGACTTCCTCTGTTGCCATCACTAAAGCCCATTTTCAAGGAATCCCTCATGTTCATCAACATTGCTCAGGCATAAGTGAATTCCCCTGCATGCTGGACTTACTTGTACAAACAGTTACATGCTTAACTTGAAGCACAAGGCAAACCAATTGCTTTTGCTGAGATTACTGATACAAGTAGTTCCATAGCAGCATCAATTTGGGCCCAATAGCCAAACTCAGTAGAATGGCCGAACATCTTTACTCAGGCATGCTCTGAGCATCAATTTAGGGCTTTATCTGAGGATTTAAGCCATTACTACTTCCTCTATCCCTTCATCAAATAATCAGAAATTAAAAAAACAAGTTAACTAGATTGTGATTTGATTCTCGTATCAACATTCTTTTAATTTCATTTTCTTTGCCTTGAATTCCTTTAAAAGTATAATGTGTTTTAATGCAAAGTCAGAGTTAAGCTTCATACTCCAAAGTGTTTACAATCAGAGCACCAAAAAAAGAAAGGAAGAAAGAATCCTTTCCTGACTCCGAATGCAATGTGGTTCTAGACATGTAAATTGGTCACATGACAGCCACTAATCTAGCACCAAGTAGTAAAATATTTCACAAATCTTTTTCCCCCTGCCAACAAGAACAAATTGAAATTCAGTCAGAGACCCTTTTGTAAACTTGTGTTGCTATACACCTAAGAAGTAATTTTTTTGTCAAAAAGAGTCCTAGCAGTTTAAGCAGAATTGAGTGGACCGGTACACTAGTAGGAGATTCATCTATTATTTCATCCATTTTCAATTTATTACATCAAAGATGTTTCCAACAGCTTGCCTTCTCTGCCAGTCCCACCCTTTTCAGTAACCATCTCTACCTTCATTAACTGAGTTGGCTATAGAGTGTACTTGTTGTCTAAATCATTATCTGGAATAGCAACAATTTGTAGGATTGTCACATGTTTATAAGGAAAAAAAAAAAAAAAAAAAGATTCCCAACTCCATTGTGGTTCTCTATACCACAACATTTATGTGTTCCAGAGCAGAGACAATTTCTTAGTTATTTGGTTTTCTGATGCAGTACTCCCAGGTGCCCTTAGCTTTCAATTTGAGCAAAAATAAAAACCTTGAGAGGCACACCCTTTCAACTTTTCTGACAATAAAAAAAATAAAGCCACATGAGAAAGACACTAGCAGAATAGAATTATATTCAGTATTTTTCATTAGCACAGATTTAAAGTGCCGAGAGACTAATAATGAAAAAAATTATTTGAAATAAAACAGTCCAGAGGGCTATTGCTTTATTGTATAGAACAATAATCCAGAAGTCCAGTAACCACATATAATTTAAACCAAATACCCAAAGAACACTTTTTGCCTGGAAGAAAGCTACAATTCTCAGGTTTTTATCCAGTTTGTATGGGACTAAGAGAAAGCTATAAATAAATATACATGATGACAATTGATATAGGATTTGCTCCCTAGACTCTAAATTATGCTGGCAGTGTTCCCAAAAAATAAGAAATACTTCAATAAAGTTTTTTTTTGTTGAGAGCTGAAGTACAAATTCACCATAAAAGTGCATGTGCACTTACCACATGCTGCAACTGTGCTGTGTACCTTTAGCGCTCTTTAGCAACTTCTTCCATTGTCTTCTCCTCAGAAACTGAAAATGGAGACAAAACACCAGTGAGAAACACCAGAAATTATTTATTCAGTGACAAATAGTCCAGTAAGTTGTTTCTCTTAGTCCAAAGGATCCTTGGACTAAAGGGATAGAATTTACAAAGCTGTATTAGGTATGCCGACATTATTCCTTTTAACTTTCAAATTCTAATTTTAAAAGAGTTTAGAGGCCAAACTTCTAAACTCCTACTTAAAATCTCCACAGTGATTATTTTAACTCACATTTTTCTTTGCACTCAATTACATCATTCAACTCCAATAGCAAGATGAGATTGTTTATAGCTGCATCAAAGCACTGCAAGCTTTATTCAAACAACATGCACTATATTTTTCTTTACACCAATGCAATTTAAGAAAATTCTGTATTTCAGATCAAGACAGATGTTGAAAAAATGCGTTATATGCAGCACAAGGAGAATTTGTTGGTCTTAATTGCTATAAGTACATATTATTGGCTTTTTGCAAATATTAAAATTAATGTTGTATGTATAATGTTGGAAAACTGCTGTATTAATATGGTTTCTTTTATTTCTGCTATTGATGAAACTTAGTGGTGTGATACATACACATATTTTTTAGGCTGTAGCATGGTATTAAAATAAAGACTGCTTTTGTTCATATAATGAAAATGAAAGGATAGTCAGAAACTCCCCCCTTGCATCCCTAGATTATCTTACCCATATGAAGACAGCAGTGGCCGGAGCTCCAAAGGAGGAATTTATTGAAGCTCTGTTATCAGGGAGTGTGAGACTCAATGGAGCCAAGAAGATTGATCTATTGGGGAGGGGAAGTTGAAGCTAAACAAAGGAACATCTAAAACTCAAGAGGAATGTTTCAGTCGTGCATAAGAATTTATGAATATGCAAGAGATTGGTGTTTTTAAGGGACAGTCCATTGTTAGTAAGGTGTGCTCTTGGCTGGGTGCCGAGGCACCCAGCCGTACTTGTTAATTTTGCCTTATTTCTCTCTCCTAATTTTCTTTTTATTAAACTTTTTGAAATATACCAAAAATGTGAACCTCATTTTTTACATAATGAAGTTCACATCCAGCCACTTGCTGAGCAGGACACTAAGCTCATCACACTGCTGTGATTAAATTTAGCAACCTACTTCTATTGCCCAGCACATAATTTCAAAACGAAAATTTCTGCTAACACTGTGATGCCAAACACAGCCACCATGAGCAGCCACACACATCACTTGAGTTTTGCATGCTCTTGTAGCTGGTTCAGTGCACATAGCTGCCAGCATTTTACAGACACAAACATTTCAGACCAAATTGGACTCTTGCACCCTCTGAAGTTTGCCATGACTCCTCAGCATCAGTGTCCTGGCTCTTTGTGTCAGAAATCTCTAGAGCTGCTTAGGCTACTCCTTCCTTGTCACTGTCTAAGTTTTAGCATGGGCAGAAGAAGCTGCAACATCTAAGACTTTACTCACAGTTTCTGTGAATCAAATTAGGAAGATAATTGTCTTCTCTTTCCATTCGTCATCATAAATGAGGATGAGAAATCAAGGCTCACAAAGCATTAAGTACCTGCCCAACATATATGCTTGAAGTAGCTGAAGACAAAAGGATCTATCAGATGAATAAATTTTATCATGCAAATAAAGCTTTGCAAATGGAATTCCAGGGAAAGTCTGCCTCTTTCCAGCCCTGGGGCAAAAACCTATAAACTGGAACAATTTTCATGTATTTAGACATAGGCAAATATTCTCTAATGTATATATTATCTCTTGCAGATACTGTTGCTTTGTTTTCTGATTTCTGTCAAATTCATAGGACATCTATACTCCACAAAACCTTGGAAAGACATCACCTTGGAAAGCCATCATGGGGAGTTTTTATGTAAAAACATTCTAGCATGAGGCTGAAGACTGAGGCTGCAATTCTATGATTGCCAACTAGCCATTTTTCAATACTCCTTTAAGTATAAAACAATCTGTCACTATAAAAAGCCTGTAATACGTAATATTTAGTAACAGGCAGTCTCTATACAGATACACTCTGCAGAAAGTCTGATAACTCAGCAGTTGCATGTTAAATTTTACTTAAATTCTCTCTTCCCTTTTCTTCTAACCTTCCTGTCAGAAGTCTCCATCATTACACTCTTTAACTGCTCAGTAGGAGGTTTGTGTCTTTCTTGTTTCATCCTATACTAAGCTATGTGTCTATTAAACACAACTAAGTAAACAGCTTCTTTAAAAGTTCAATAAATGCAGCAAATAGAAGTTTTATACAACTAGAATCCCATTACCTTTCCGTAGGATATGGGGTTATAATTGTTACACTGGCTAAGGTTGATGCTCACCTGAAGGCCCTGTGGGAAAGGCACAGCTGCAGGCTGCATGGCTGAAAGTCACTCGAGAGGGGAGTCAGGCAAGAGTGAGGAGGGAGTCAGTTGAGCGACAGTTAAGAGTGAGATTTTGATTGGCTGGAGGAACGTGTGAACAGCGTAGAGCGGAAAGCTGATTGGATGGCAGAACTCACGGACAGTGTATGAGCGGGAAGCTGATTGGATGGTAGAATGTGTGGCCAGCAGCAGTGCAGCTGAGGCAGCCAATGGGTGCCCTCTTTCTGTTAAGTTCTGTTAGGTCTCTGGTTTCAGTTATGTCAGGTAGAGATTAAAGGTATAAAAAGGGTGAGAGTTGTACAATAAAGCAATCTCCTTCAGCTGCATAAGGGAGTCGGTGTTACTTTGTTCCCCATTGCTACACCTTTCCCCAAATATCACCTTGCAGCTAGATAAATACAGCATATTCTGAACATCCATTATTTCACCTTATATTTCAGAATGCTTTCTGGATTTTGAAGAAGCAACAGAAAAATAAATGCTCAGGAATTGGCACTTTTGCCTTTATGAGGAAGAGCTATCCAATAGAAATAGTACTTTTGAAATTTGGAACTTTAGATATTTTACAGCAAGCAATACTTCATGCAATGCCATATATTCACTATGGTAACAACCTGCTGGGTTTCAGTTTGTAATATCATACATTTGGGTTATATTACCAAAAATTATTTCTGTGGCTGATAGTATTTAATTTATTTTTTTTCCTCATGAGTGTTTAAATTTCTTTTGCACTAAGAAAAGTAGATCAGTAGGCAACTAGAGGGAGCAACATGGACTTTTCTACTTTTTAACAAAACTCATTTCCTTTGGATGGGAATTATGTTTGTCATCTACATGAATACCTGCCTTGAAACCAAACATTAACCACTTGTACAGAAATGCTCAGCTGCTTTATCATCCTTATAGAATCCTTATAGAACAATACCACTTCTGCTCCTTAACATCTTTACCAAAACATCCACTTGCAGCATTCCTGCCAAATGGATCTCAGTCAAGTGATAATTTCGTTCTAACCCATACAATTTAAAGCCTACCAAAAATTATTTCATTTCCCTTTATATCCACAAAAGTGGGGTCTACTGAGCTCTTTCTTAATTCTCTGGAGGAAACTTCGCCCTGCATACAAATATCCTTTATCAAAAGCACTGGAGTTAAACGGCTTCATAATTTCATAATTTTCCCGCTTCATTTGGTGTGTTGTGCTTCCCCCCATCCTAGTAGGATATATTTCTCTATAGAATATACAGAACATTACTCTACAGTATACAGAAGGTATACTTCACAGTTTCATACAAGGTATTACACTGGTAGCAAAAATCTCAGCCTCTGTATGTATTACTACCTATTTTTTTTTTCTGAAAAGTTGATTTTTTTTTTTCTTAAGCTTTTTCACTGGTTATTTGTCAATTTTCAGTTTTCTCCTGGGATAAGTAGCTGCATCCCAATATTGCTGGCTACAGCTTTCTTCAATTTGGCCAGAAATTGATATATACCATTGCACTTACAGGTCTGAATTAGGAGCTTAGCTTTCCTTTGGTTTCAACAAAAGACAATATAAAAGAGCTTCGAGCCTCAGAGGAATCAAACTAACCACATTTACTAACTGTTGTCAAAGGGCTTTGCATATTCCATCAACAGCTGTTGCCAAAGCACTCAGAAGAATTTGGAAATAACAGGGATTTTGAGGACAAGCATCCCCAAGGTTAGTCACAGCCACAACATACATCCACTACACAGTCAGTGTATAACATCTGTGCAATATCCATTGCGGACATGTAACAGGGAATCCCAACCAAAATGCTTCCTGTTCCTTCCCAAGATAGCTACAGGCACTCCCAGACTGCCCTTAGCTCCTCTGCTTTAGGAGATCACCATTTGGAGAAGAAATGCATCCTCCCAAACTGCACTTGCAGGAACAGCACATGACTGGGCAACATTACACATGCACCTAACACAACACCATTTCTGTTGTGGAAACACATCTGGCTTGAGCTGAATGAATAAAGAAAATGGATTTTACAGACCAAATAAAATTGTGGATTTGTTTTGAAAGCTTGTGTTTAGTTCCAATAGCTTATTAGCACAATATTCAACATTCCACCTAGAAATAATTTTTAATGAAATTATCCATATAATTTCAGTGAAAAAATATCCATCAAAAATTGCTTCCTATGTAAAACAGTAATTCTGCAGTCTTTAAAGACAATTTTTACAAGTGCTGAACTTGCATTCCTGAGAGTGAGTGCAGAATATACACTTCTGTGCACTTACAGTAGAAAACAGTCCAAATACGGGGTGATTCTGCATGTACATGATGGTCAGTTTCAATTGTGCAAATATTTGTGAGCTCAGCATTCCCCCAGCAGAAGAGTGGCAAGATAAGGAGGGACTTGTGTGCCCTGTGTGACTGACTCATCTTTGCTGCAGCTGATAGTAAAAAATAACATGCCCAGATTTACTTTCTCCTGCTAATAATAAAGGAAACCCCATGCAAGTGCATTGACTTCCAGAACTCCAATCTTACTGCTTGCATAGCCTCTTTCCCCAAAGCCTTCAAACCTTTAAAACAAGATTTCCAACTTTCCTGGGGCAGTTTTTTATGCAGAATCAGCCTGGAATTTGTCTG